ACCCTCTCGATGCTGTCCACATCTCTCTTGAAGTGCGGCGCCCAGAACTGGACGCAGTACTCCAACTGCGGCCTGACCAGTGCCGCATAGAGGGGGAGGATCACCTCCTTGGACCTGAGGTATATAGAGGCGATTGTGTAACAGCTCAAAGTAAAGTCTTACCCTTGCATATTATGTGTAGGGGGAGAATTGTGAAGGGAGTGGTGTGTGGAGGGATGGGCGTCTGGGGCGGGGGAGCGGGGGGTAGGCATGGGTGTGTGGGGGGCCTGCCTGCACGTTAAGTTCTGGGAGCTAGCTAGGAGTGGGGGGAGACACAGGGGGTGCATGAAGCACAGCTCACCCATTCAGTGCAGGTATGGTCTGCCCCACAGCTGCCCCCATGGCACTCCACAGAGAGTCAATTTCTACCTGCTCCCACCCAGGGCAGCCCGCATTGCACATCTGCCTGCCCCAGCCCTGGCCCTGGCCCCAGCCCAGGGCAGAGCGCACAGCTTCCTGGCAGGGCTGATCCCAATGCAGCTGCAGCCACCAGGGTACTGCTCACTCCTCCCCCTCCACCACCTCCAGCAGCTCCTCCTCCACCACTCTGGACAGCAGATAGCACTTGGAAGTAGTGGCGGTTGTGGCAATGCACACTGGACACTACACACCCAGCCAGGTGCAGGGGAACCTGCAGCAGGGTGGCTCCTGCCTCCATGTGCGGGGCTCTAGCTACTGCTCCTGGCTGCCTTCCACCAGCTCGTCCACCTGCAGCTGGCTGCTCATCGCAGAGCAGGCAGAGTGGGTGGAAGGTGGCCAGGAGCTAGAGCTGGAGCCAGAAATGTTAGGGCAAGAGCCTCCCAGCTGCAGCTTCCCCACTGCCTGCCTGGGCGTGTGGTGTCCAGCACATGTCCCTAAGGCTTCTCTGCACTACCTGCTCCCTGGAGCAGAACAGCAGGGCCAGAAGGAGGAAGAGCATGAGCTGCTGGAGGGGGTGGGGAAGGGGAAGAACCAAGCAACACCTGAGTGGCTGCAGCTGAACTGGGAGCAGCCTCGCCAGGAAGCTGTATGCACTGGCTGGGGCCAAGGCAGGTGGAAGCACAGTGCAGGCTACCTCAGGTGGGAGCAGATGGGGATCAGTCCCATGCCAAGTGCTGGGGGGCAGCCATAGGCCAGATTCAATTAATTGGTGGGTGCCAGCCCGTGGACTGGATCCAATTAGTTGGTAGGCCAGGTCCAGCCTGTAGGCCACATTTTGTCCACCCCTGCATTAGAATCATAGTACAAGGGCTAGCTGGTCTACTGACAAAGCTCAACCTCACACAATATGTATCTTGTCAAAAATCTCTATTTTTCTCTAATGCAAATACATCTAAAAATAAATAAATATTTTAGAATTGATAGGGCAATCATGAACTTTTAACTACTCCAGTCCTTGAGGAAGGAGTTTTGTTTTGTTTTTAAATTGTTCTGTCTATACCTATTGTCTGAACACAAGCAAGCAAGGTAATTTTTCCATAGCGGGACAAGAAAACGAGTCATTTATATTTATCTAAATGCACCAAAGAATACAAATCTGTTAAAAACACCTAAATTATTTCACAAATTAACCTTGTCAACTTTTTTCTCAGATTTTGGCTACTGCTTAACGCAAATGAAACACAAAAGGGAAATGAGCTGTCTGATGTAGTCTACTGCTTATTGGTGGACAGGAAATGTTAAAGAAAAAGAATAAAAAATAAATTTTGAAAGTTAGCACAGCAATCTGAATCAGTGAAATCCCATTATTTGGTTTTCTCTCTACGTATACACATATGTAATAGAATATTTGACCTCCAGATACTGATAAACAAGAACTGGCATCTCATAGAAGAAGTTTTTCAAATTATGAGCCTGTTCTGAGAACTGTTTTGTAAAAACAGCATTAAAAGAGGCAAACCAAGTTACTTTCCTAATATTAATTTTGGCTGTTTTCCAAATTAATATTGGCTACTAAGAAGGGATAGCTGCAATACTTTCACTCTGTAGCTACAATTTAAGTCAGGATTTTTCAACCAAAAACACACTCTCCCTGCCATGAACACAGACATGCGCACACACACATGCAGAGATGGCCACGCAGACACACCCGCGCACTCAAGTATGTGCACGCAGGCACACCCATGCATGCAGAGGTGCACGCAGGCACACCCATGCATGCAGAGGCACACATTGATACACGGAGATGAACACACATACATACACCCAACCACATTTTCCACCCACAGGACCTCCCCCCTCAACTCTCAATCACTATGAGGCAGCCCCCATGAGCTGGCCCCGGCTCCATCTCACTCTTGCCTGGCCCAGTACACTGACCTGCAGACACTGCTGCCCAGCTGTGTCTGTGTGGCCACGCACATGCACAGGGCCACGCTGGGCCAGGCTGGAAGCAGGTGGGTGGTGGTGCTGGGAGGGGTGGCTATAGGAGGCTAAGGTGATTTTGAGGGACTATAGCTCTTCTCCCCCAGGATTGGCACTGCGTAGCACACCTGGCTGGCCAGCTCCAGCCCTGCCCCCATCAGCCCCACTGGGGAGTGGCCCTGCTCTTGGCTGCAGGGAAACAAATGTGAAAGTGGGGTTTTCAACCGAGCATCATTTTTGTCTCCCTACTGGGCTGCTGACGGGCCTTGCACCCAGCCAATCATGTGCCACCCGTCAGTAGCCCACGGAGTCATACGTGCGACCAGCCATGGAAAAGTGGCATGGAGTGGCGGATGGCAGCGGTGGTCACTGCATGTGAGCGCTCCCTCCACCCCCATCCAGCCAGCTGGAATATGCCTGTGCAGGCCACAGAGGGGCACCGCTGCTCTCCCCACCCTGCTCCTGGGAGGTGGTGGCATGGGGTGGTGTGTGGCAGTGCTCCATCCCCACCGGCCCCCACATACCCCCTAGGACCTTTCCGAGTACCCCTAGAGGTATGCTTACCCCTGGCTGACAACCCCTTCTTTAGGTCAATCTAGAAGCAAACTGGTGCAAACTGTAGCTGTACATCTAGTACATGGTACTTTTGGGAGACAATACGTGTCGCTCATACTCCAATTAGCTGCATCAGCTATTTGATTTCAAGTTGAATTAAATATCTTGGTTTTGATCATACAGCTCAAATGATTTGAAAAATTGCTACCTGTTAAATACAACACCTTTTCTCATGCCACATTACTGCAGGTATTATCAGAGGCATGAGAGCTGGCGTCCCCATGATTTAAAAGGGAAAGTGCTAGCAATAGTGCATTTTTCAGGTCTTGAATAGGCTTCCCCATGTCAGTCTGATAAAGCCCAAATCAAATCACCTTTAGGACAACCAGTTATGCAGAGCTGCTGAGGCAGACTTTGGGGAGAACTCAGATGTATAGAAAAGAGGGGAGATAGCATTCTGCAAGTGATCTATATATTTTTTTAAAATTTATGATGGGTACCTAGACTGTTGGATAGGAGCCCCTTAATTGTTTGAAAAATCCATTAAGAAATTATTTTAAATTATTTATAGGAGAAGACAGTGTCATACTGGCAGTGTACCTAATCATGTTGCTTGGAGCTAGACATGGCCATCTTTTTCCTTAACTAAATCTTAAGCAGCAGCCACTGCTGCTAATTTAAAAGTCACTTATTTAGGGTCACAACAGACACAAATATCCACATAACTGAACAAAACAATAAAGACTGAATACAGACTTATCTGCTAGGCTTCAGTGAATGGTGAGCCTGCTTTCTAACCTTTACTTTTAACTGAGATTTTAAGAATAAAATTAAAGGATACCAAGAGTATAAAGATGTGTCTTTTTGTCCGAATAGAATTTTTTTAAATCTACATCAGGACGTTTGGCATGCTTTTCCTCATAGTCTCCAGTTTTAGGATTCTTGTGTCTGAAGATAAAATGCAGTTTGTAATCTTCTCCACATTTATCTGGTCCAAACATAATCGTATATGGCGTTTTGTCAAAAAAATATTCCTGTAAAGCAAGAAATCCAAGTATGCATGAAATCATCTTGTGTATGCCTTCCATGGTGCTAACAGCATTCTGCATGCTTACATATCCTACAGAGATGCATCTCTTTATATGATGTCAGTTCCAGAGTTCAGCATAATTAAGCATAAAGTATACCAAACAGGATTAGACCTTTGGGGTACCCCACAGGGGTAGAAAAGTAATTTTTTTAAGAAACTATTAAAAAGAATGCTCGTCACAAACCAATATAAATTAGCAGCTATACATTTCTGCAAGTATCATGCACTGTAAAAAGAAAAAAAAAGAAATAGCTTAAATTGCTCCTCACAACATTTTAAGCTGCAATAAAGTAAAACACATATTTACCCTGCATTCATTTAATATTTTTCTTAATCATTGTCTTTCCATTCCACATTTACTGCTTCAAATCGTGTTGCTTAGAGGTAAACATTGGTCCCAAAACCATTGGTCCCAAAACCAAAACTACACAAAGTATTTATTATGCCTCCCTGTCCCAGGTTGTATTGTGTTACAACTTCTTTTGATATCTTACCTATCTACAAGATTTTTCTATTTGGAACAGGTAGTAAGAGTTTAAGGAAGGGGTGGGCAAAATACAGCCCATGAGGCCTTTCTACCTGGCCTGCAGGGCCCCTGAAAAATTTAGAAAATTAATATTTATCTGTCTTTGGATCCTGTCAAAAATGACAGGAGCTAGGGGCAGTAGGACCCAGGGGAAGCCTGGCGGCCTCCCCCAACCCTGCCCAGCCCTGTCCCCACAGCTGGAAGCCCCAGCAGGGGCTTCTGGCCTGGGACCATGTGGCTGCACTGGAGTGGGAAGGAGCCCAGGGAAAAGCGGCCCCTCCCCTGCCCCATGGCTGGCACTCCCTAATGCAGTCGCTGACAGCCCACGTGGGGCTGTCCTGAGCAGGCACAGGCAGCCCCATGTGGGCTGTGAGCAGCTGCAGCCTGGGGCAGGGGAGGGGCCACTTTTCCTGCGCTCAGTACCAGCTTGTAACCCACCCTGCTGCCAGCCTGGGCCCTGCACTGGCCCTGGGTTCACCCATCAGGGCTCCTTCATGACGGGAGCAGCTGCGGCCCCCCCCCCCCACTTCCCACGCCGGGCAGTGTTTGCTGCTGCTGCCCGCCCGGAGCTTGCGCGCTGGGCGGTCCAGAGGCGGCAGTGGCAAACACTGCCCAGCGCAGCAACGGGGGGCCACACCTGCTTCTGCCACAGAGAAGCCCCAAAGGGCAAGCCTGGAGCTGGTGCGGGGACCAGGCTGGTAGTGGGGGCAGGTTACGAGCCCCACACTGCAGCTGCTTGCAGCCCAAAATAATTGCCTGCCCTTGCTTTAAGGTATCTTAGATTTTTAAGACCCTTTTTCAGTTACTTAATTTCTGGAATATTCCTTCTGAAATCTAAGTCTGGTAGTCTGATATCTATAAGAAAGAAACTATTTTTTAACTAGACAGACACACATCAGCAATTTTGAGGTCAGGGTAAACAATTTTTAGAGTTTAGATTCAGCTATATATTTGCATAGAAAAGATATTCTGACTATGCAATGAAATTTTCTCATTTTAACCCTCAGAAAGTGTGTCGCTTTTCACTAGAGCATGGGCCGGCAATTATTTTGGGCAGAGGGCTGCTTACTGAGTTTCAACAAGCCATCAAGAGCCACATGACAGGCAGCTCAGGACAGATTAATATTAATTTTCTACATTTTTTAGGGGCCCCGTGAGCCGGATAGAATGGCTTGGCGGGCCACAGCTGGCCCCCGGGGCTGCATTTTGCCCACCCCTGGGCTAGAGGGTAAAAAAAAAGGGCGGGGGGCAAGAGGGGAAGGGGGCTTCCCTGCAAGCAGAATAAAGCTTTATAGAGCTTAGGCCCCACTGAAAAACTGGAAGCCCTATATCATTGTGACAAGAACGCACTGAAGCACTGGGCATCTATACACATGGTCCAGGGGTGGGAGGTGTTTTAATTAGAGTGGCTCTAGGGAGTCCTCTAATTACCCCCACTGCCATTTTGAAACCCAAGGACACTGCACTGCAGCACGCTGGAGTGTTCCAAATAGAATTAATTAATCAAGTCTGCCCTGACGCAGTCTAATCAGAACATGTCAGAGCACATGTAAAAGCACTGAGCTGCAAATGAACCCCTAACTCATCTGTACAATTCATACTTGATGGAGATTTGTTTTTATTCTAACAAGTTCCTTCAAAACATCTTAACTTTTTCTTTCTGTCTATACCGCCTCACTGACTTTCAAGCTGTGATCAATTCATGTTTTTATTAATGTAAAAAACATTCAATCCAGCCTTGACTGTAGCAATTCTGACCCTATCATGTCAGTTGGCAAAAAAAATCTTATTTCACATTTTTAGGAGGGGACACAGCTTTCTATTCTGCAAAAGGGAACAGAGAGAACAGTGGAGAAAAGAGGTATTTTTGCCTTCTCTTTCCATATAAAAGATATCTGTTATAGGAGGACAGAAAGAAAAGATGATGATGTTGGACGTATTTCCAAACACATTGAGGATGGGTAGTGATCTAGAGTCCTTAATTTTTCATTGCCTGGTCTTGAATATTGCAAAAGGCTCTGCAAGCACCTAGAAAGACTAAGGCTGAGAAACAGGATATAGTACTGAATGCCTAATTATGAAATGTACACACATTTGGTTAGTATTTAACCTTTCATTTAATGTAACCTGCTTCATTTCTTCAGCTTAGCTTAAAAAGCATGGAAAAATTTATTCCAGTATGCTGCCAGCTCGTGAGATGATCACTAAAGAGCTCTGGTTGCTTTGTAACACCAGTGAAAACAACAATATACTGGACAATCCAGCACATGAACAAGAGCACTTCCAGGCAGATGGCAGGAGGAGTCAGGCACCTGTGATGCCTGTACTAGTTTCAAATGCATATTATTTTAGTACTTTTTAAAATAAATTGGTTTAATTGCACACAATTTCCTGGCTTCTTCTCCTTTGTCAAGTACTTACCAATACATAGTACAAAGCTTTTTATAAAGTACATTTTTACAATTACAGAAAACAATAGAAAATAAATGGATATGTATATGATATACCAGCGTACAATACCATACTTCTTTATGCATGTCACCAGGATCCTGGTTTTCTCTGTTTAAAAATAGCAAATTCCCTGATTTAAAAGGGGCAGGAACCACTAATTCTCCCATTAAAACCTCCCAAATCCACGTTTTTCTGCTATTACAACAAAATGCCACTACATACATAGGTATCCATTGAACACAATGTTTTACTGATATATTTACAATTTTAAAGCAATTTGGAAGCCTACCAGTGCCTCAATCACTACAATAAAATAAATTCTAGTTTATTTTATTGTAAAATAAAATAAACCGGTGCCCGCTCCAAGCCCAGCTCCTGCTGGGCTTGGAGCCGGCACCGGTGGCACTGGGAGGATGCTGCATCCACCTCAAATTTCACCATTGCTCCGCTCCCAGTGTTGCCACTGCAAGCCCTGGCTCTTCCTGGCACATGGGTGGAGGTGGTGAGTTTAGTCGGGGCTATGCTGAATGACTGGCGGCAGCAGCAGCAGCACTGGGAGTGGAGTAGCAGTGAAATTTAGGGTAAATGCAGCATCCTTTCACCACTCACTCTGAGCCCAGCCCCCGCTGAGAAGAGCCCTGTGCAGCCCTGGCTGCAGCCTGTCCTGTCCTGTATAGATCCGGGGGGCACATGTGCCCAACTTCCCCCCCCACCTT